CCTCCTCTCCTCGCTCTCCTCTCTCTCCTCTCCTCTCCTCTCCTCTCCTCTCCTCGCTCTCCTCTCCTCTCCTCTCCTCTCCTCTCCTCTCCTCTCCTCTCTCTTCTCCTTGCCTTGGCTCTGCTCCGACTTTGCTCCGCTATCTCCGTTGAGGGGTAAAACTATTTTTAATTTTTTTAAAAAAGCTAAATCTATTTTAGCAGCCTCAACCATGCGGCTTGCCGTAGCTTGTGTTGATGGCTTCAGTCGTTCAGCAGGAGGGAGGCAGGGAAGGAGGGAGCGAGGGAGAGAATTGCGACAGAAAGGGCATATGCACAACATGAGCAATCAGATCTAGGCTAGGAGATCGTCAGCAGCAAGTGATGGCTCCAGAACCAGGCGTCTTCTCCCAATCTCGCGCATGCTACGTTGTTGGGCTCTCCCTTTCCATAGCCAGCATGCGCCTATGCTCTGACCTGTGCTGAATCAGGATCGATTATCACAAGCTTGACCCAATCATTCTGGTATCTTCATGTTTCCTGAAGGCATACCGGGTTCGTTCCCTTGTGATATCTCATTTACACTTACCCTCTCCCCCGCCAGGTGATGCTGTCGAGCTTCTGGCAGGGAGGTGAAACGCCTTCCTATCTCTGTCTCCTCCTTTTGACATTATCTGGTGGAAGATTTTACTGGATGCGAACCCGCTTCAAACCAAAGTATGGCAGCGATGATGTTCTGCCGTGGGTTTGACGACCTTTTACCAAACAGCGACACAACCGCAGTGAAATTTTTCAACGTGGACGAGCGATTTGTATATGAGAGCTTCTTTCATGACTTCGGACCGATCAACATGTGATTGGATCTGATCCTGTGATGTTGAGGGCTGATAGTGATGTATGGTTCTGTTCAATGTGCAGCTCGCAGCTTTACAGATACTGTCAATTGATCCGCACGAAACTATCTTCACTCGAGGGAGGAAAAAACTGCGTGAGATGAAAGATTTTGGGGAATTTTCCCGTAGTTGATGTTTGCGATTGTATCAGATCGTTCATTGCACTTCGATCGACCCGAAGTGAGATGGAAATTCCTGAGTTGTCAACAGCCACCTGACGTTTGTGATGTGCAAATAGAGTTTGCACAAATGCTGCATGGCTAGCAGGTCTGTCTTCCATTGGCTGTGGATGGTTGGTGTTTGATCTATGGGTTCTACAGGAGGATACCTCATATGTTATGAAGGTTTCACCCCGGAGCAAGCGCACTCTTTGTTCTTGTACCTCTCTCCTCCTTCCTCCGCTGGTTTGCATCTGACGTTTTTTGTGTGCTGAAGCAAAGTGAGCAACAGTTTTATCCCGTTTCGAGATGCTTCTCAGGTATTGGAGAGGTGAGAATATTTGTTCTTTCTCAGACGTGTTGTATCTTGCAGACAGTGAGCAACTTTGGTGTCTCGTTGCTAGATTGCTTCAAAGCCATTCACCTGGCTAGGAAGGTATGAAGGTAGAACGAAAACAGGGTGACGTTGACTTGCTGTCTAGGAATTATTCTTTGACTTTTCCAATTTCGATCCTGAAGAGTATGAGTTCTTTGAGAAGGTGAGATCTACGTTTCATTCTTTTTGTTCGTTCTTGCTAAGAATGTTGAGCTCGGTCAAGGGTGCTTTGTTTTTGTTTGGGATCCGTTTGGTTCTTTGAGACTTCTGTGTTTTACCAGGTTGAGAATGGAGATTTCAACGTCATCACTCCAAAGTTTATCGCATTCAGGTGATAATGATGTAGAGAGTCTGATCTGAACATCTCTTGCAGCAACCCAACTGCTGTTCGGACCGAGATCTGTCCGGGGGTTTTCTCCAAGGTGAGCGGAAAACAGCGATAACAGAGGAGGAGTCATTTTCGTCTCGTGGTGGTGATAACGATTGAAGTGGTGCTGGTAGTGGTGATGATTCTTACTGATACCTTGGTTTGCAGACATGTTCCGATTATTTTGATCTTTGGCGAGAAAGAAATGTGACAGCGGGTATTTTACCTCATCTCAACTTTGCTTCTTACTCAATCCTCTCTGTATTCAAATATCTTATTCTCCCTTACTCCCTTTCACAAAGTTGTCCGTCTCAACAACAAGACATACGATAGAAAGGTTTGAATGCACGCATTGAATCTCCTTCACTTGTTCTTCTCATATCGTCACAGGATTTCCTTGAAGCTGGTTTCCACCATTATGATCTCTTCTTTGCCGATGGATTTCCTCCTCCCTCCGACATCGTTTACAAGTCTGTCTCATCTCCTCGCTGATCTCTATCCTACTCACTTCACCTCCTCCTCTTCCTACCCTTTTCTCCTCTCCACTCTTTGCTTCCTCTCCCTCTCTCGCTCCTCCTCTTGTTCTGAAACTTTTGGCCCTTCAGGTTTCTGGAGATTTGTGAGAACGAGAAAGGAGCCATCGCAGTTCACTGCAAAGCCGGTCCCTCCCCTTCCCTCCCCTTCCCTCCCCTTCCCTCTCCCCTCCTCTCTCTCTCCTCTCCTCCTCCTCCTCCTCCTCCTCCTCCTCCTCCTCCTCCTCCTCCTCCTCCTCCTCCTCCTCCTCCTCCTCCTCCTCCTCCTCCTCCTCCT